CTGATCTGTTTGGCGTGCTATCCTTGCTCCTTGCTCATTCGTGGCCCCCACTATGGTGGCCAGAGATCGTCGCGCGATTACAGTTGGGGCGCAATAGGGCTGGTGTCATCATCATCATCATCATCAGCCTATAAATGCCCACTGCTGAGCAAAGGCCTCTTCATACTGAGAAGGTTAGAGCATTAATCACCACGCTTACTTAATGCGGGTTGGCGATTTCAAACTTATAATTAGAAATTATAAGTCCAGGTTTCCTCACAATGTTTACCTTCGCCGTATGTCAGTGGTGTCTAAATAATCATAGAAAGTACATATAACTCGGAAAAAATCACATTGGTACTTGCCGGGTTTCGAACCCATACCCTCATGCATGAGAAGCGGGCTGCTTAACCTCCGGGCCACCACGACAGGGCTGGTGTGTAACTTTGATAAGCGAGGCTTCTTGTTCGAAAAGCGGGTGCTTTATCCTTCAGTAACTACGCCATAAAACGTACGACACTTATGTACATCATAACATCACCAGCCTATAAATGCTTATTGATAGAAAAAGCCTCTTCTCACTCAGAAAATGTTTGAGCAACAATCGGCATGCTTGCTCAAGGCGTATTGATGATTTCAAACTTATAATTAGAAAAAGTACAGGAATCCTTACGATGTTTTCTAAACGATGGTTTCAAAATTGCGAGGTAAGCGCAATAAGGCACCGTGACCTCGACCCAGAGCAGGAGAAGGAACAGGGGGCTTTTTAGTCAGTAAGAGTCTAACGCCCGACCCTGGATGGGAGAAGTCATTTGATGATTTTACCCTCACAAAACAAGTGGTGTCAAAATAATCATAGAAACTACATATTACTCGGATAAGTCACATTGTCTCATGGATAAGAAGCGAACGCTTACTTAACCTTTGGGCTACCACAAGGACACTTAGAACTAGATAATAATAAAAGTAGAAAATATTAGCAAGCAAAACCACATTTATTCAGTAGCATACAAGACCTTTTGTCCATTCTTTTAGGGGTCATTCCACGTGACTGCCTTCTTTGATGTCGTGCCATATTTAGATATAACGCTAATCTCCTGGTAGAAAGCCTAAGATTAGATCAGGAGTTTTTATACGAAGAGTGAAGTCGGTTTTCTACTAAGTAGACTACATTAGATAAAATATTCAGTGGATAAGCAGTTATACACATTAACATGTATAAAAGTACATCTAAATATATATAGGTAACTCAAGGGTGATCTATCGACTCATCATAGCCCAAATCAATGGACGGTTCGGGCTGAAATTTGGCATGCAGGTAGATGTTTTGACGTAAGCATCCACTATATAACAAAGGTATACATTAAGACAGGATAAAATTAAAATTAAATTTAAAAAATGTTGATACATTCTACTGCCAATGCCATAAAATCAAGGATGGAAGTGTGCTTTTAATATAAATAAGAAAAAGTCTTTGCTCACACGGAGGCCGAATACTTGTCTATCCTAAATCAACCGTAAACCTTTGTTCTATTTTGAAAAAACTACGAAATGACTTCTCTCGCAGAATGAGGCAAGAGGAAGTGTCAGACTTCTCTTACTGACTATAAGTCATTCTGTTCTCTCTCTTGTTCCACGCCGGTGCCGTCATACCTCCGTGGTTGCCCAAAGGCGGACCTGCACGTCGATTCTATAAAATTTGTTTAAATTTGAATCTTGTTCGAGTGTGAAGAGAGCGTCGAAGTGACGGGGAAATTACATTTTAGAATGCCACTTTTAACGTCATCTCATACTTTATCCATCAAAATGTTGCGGTCAATTTAGTTCAACCCGCAAGTGTAGCGCTAGTGCGCTATTACTCACAGCGGATTCAGTAGTGTGATTCTGTAAGACTTCATTCTAAATTTCGAATCTGAATCCGCCGTGAGTAGTAGTACACTAGCGCTACACTTGCGAGTTGAACTAAATTGACATCAACATTTTGATAGATAAAGTATGAGATGACGTTAAAAGTGACATTCTAAAATTTAATTTCCCCGTCACTTCGACACTCACTTCGCACTCGAACACGATTCAAAATCAAACAAATTTTATAGAATCGACGTGCAGATTTGAAGTTAAGAATGAAGTCTTACAGAATCACACTGCTGATTGCTTACCGTCAGGCTATCCGTCTGCTCGTCAAAAATAATATTTATTGCATTGCAAAAGACTGACACTATTTTTTGAGACATGCTGAAGTCGGCTGCGTGACGTCTACACGACGCACACGCTGATCATGAATAATAATTCGTTTGTGACTTAAATCTATGTAGTAGAGATTTTCTAAGAGATAAAGTCGTTATTTTCAATAATTTAAGTCTGATATTATTTGATTTCCTAACTGGCTGATTAGATAGATAGAAAAATAAAGGGTTTTTTTTATTTTTTTATGTGATAGGCAAACCTGATGGTAAGCAACCAGCGCCGCCCATTCACACCTGCAACAACAGAAGAGTTAAGTGCGTTGCCGACCTTTTGGAGATAAGGGATTTGGAGATTTAGGGATTGAGGAAGAGGAAGGATTAGGCCACCGGTAACTTCACTCACACAGCGAAATACTACGCTGTGGTTGTTTCAAGCCGGTTTTCTGTGAGGCCGTGATATCACTCCGGTTGAGTATTTAGCGCAACAGAGGACACAATATAAGCAATTTATAAACAAAAACATAATAAAAAAATGAGAAAGAAATAAAAACACCAAACTGACGCTTTGACGTAAAAGTTTCTTTTGATAGCTACTACTAACGCCATCTGTCGGCTCGTAGTTGAATCATGGAACAAGATGGCGTCACTAAAGTTTTAATAACACATTTTATATTCAGATAATGACTCGTTTATCGTAAGTTGGACTGTTTAACGACTCGGGTTCGATTCCCGTAAGTGAGTCCGGTAAAGTATTGATTTTTTTTTCTTTTTTAAAAAAAAAAAAACGTTGCCCCACTTTAGGATTTTCTCCTGTGTTGTGAGTTCGTTTACAAACACACAATGTGACATACACACGACACCCAGACCCGAAACAACAATTTGTGGATCACACAAAGTGTTGTTCCGTCCGGGAATAGAACCCGCGACACGTTGCACGGCAGCCAGTTGCCCAGCCACCGCACCAACCGTTGTTATAGATTATTGTTAGTGATTTAAAATGGTTTTCATTTTTTTTTCATTACTCTTAATCTAGAATTGAGTCTCCTTTGTACATTTTAAAGATAAAGATAGTAGATCCTTTAAAATTACCTATAATATTAATTGATGAAGAGTGTTATATTGTATTTACGCGCATTCCTGCACATCCCCTTATCGACAAAAAAACCTGACCAAAAATTATTATACATGTATCTGCTAGCAGCTATTCCTGTATACCGTTTACCACTTTCTTATAATACAACTCGGTAAGCAATTCTCAACCTTATCGACATCAACATCAACACTATAACTGACAAAGTTGCATGAAACTTACTAAATCAGTCGAGCGAAGGTTTATTATGTATTATCTGGGAATCGATTCCACAGTTATTTTCGTGGCGACCGTTATCTGTTTTGTGAGCGTTTGAATGAGCGAGTTTACTTGCCAAGTCACTGGTATACGAACTTGCTTGTCATGTGGTAGTTATGTGATCTAGCTTATCATTTACCATTAGGTATATGGCATGGCATATGTTAAATATTTCCATTTAATGACAGGCCTATGAATTTTGCTTAGTAAATAGCATACCCATTTAAAAAAAATGTTTACCAAGCTTACTTGCTTGAAAAGGATGCTGTTCTTAATTTAATTTGATGATATCACTACATAGCATCACGATTTAAAAAAAAAACTTTTTCCCATACTAACATTTTCTCCTGTATCGTGGGTGCGGTTAAAAACATACAATTTCACATACACATGGTACCCAGACCCGGAAAAACAATTTGTGAATCACACAAAGTGTTGTTCCTATCGGGAATCGAACCCGCGACATTATTTATGATATTTTTAACGTATTGTCTTTTTATTATTGTGTTAGGAGGGCAAACGAGCAGACGGATTACCTGATGGTAAGCAATCAGCGTCGCCCATGGACACCCGCAACAAAGAAGGAGTTACGAGTGCGTTGCCGACCTTATAGGGATTGGGATTTTGGGGATTCAGGGATTGGGAAGGGATTGGGGTAGGGGAAGGATTGGGCCTCCGGTAACCTCAATCACGCGGCGAAACACAACTCTTTAATATCTTTAACACAATGTCTTTAATTGTGAACATGCAAATGTGTATTATAATTTAGTTTAAATGTCATAGTGATAATAAAAATCCATGATCTATAAAAAGTAGAGTCAGTTAGTTTTTACGCTTGTAGCATTTTGAGATCTTACCTATAACAATCTAAGGCCTTAGCCAGCTTATATATTTTATTCTATATCTGTAAAACAGACAGTATTTTGACCGTCATAATAAAAAACACTGACTTTACACTTTGGGGATGTCAATTATTACAATTTCACATTACACTGGAAAGGAATTTTCAAACCCAAAAAAACTACAAATTAGGAAAATATTACTAAGGATTGAACCCCCAGCAAACTTGCTTACGCATATTAATAACGCTCTGGTTTCGTGCTGTGAGGTTTTTATGAGGCCCTAGCATCTCTTCCACGAAGCCGGCTCAATTGTTTCGAAGCATGAATCCCATATGATCTGTGCACATTTACATGATGATAAACATCTTCTTATGAAACTTAAAATACTTTAAACAACAACAATATTCTATTTAGAAACGTATCCCAACATGATTTAATTTTAGAATATTTTTCATATAAAAATATTGAGCAAGTAGATGTAAATGCTGGCGCTAGTAAACTGTCTCGTGTAAACGCGCACGGGTCGATGACGTCTCCGCAGCACCGCATCGCAATCCGCATAGGACCGGTCCAAATAATAAGCGATTCCATGGGCGGAGGCGATTCAATGCGGAATAAGTGTGGCAGAGCCATGATACGGCACGAATGGGTCGGCTCGACCGGAGTGATACCACGGCCTCACAGAAAACCAGCGTGAAACAATCACAGCGTTGTGTTTCGCCGTGTGAGTGAGGTTACCGGAGGCCCAATCCTTCCCCTCCCCCGATCCCTAAATCTCCAAAACCCTAATCCCTAAAAGGTCGGCAACGCACTCGTAACTCCTCCGTTGCGGGTGTCCATGGGCGACGCTGATTGCTTACCATCAGGTAATCTCGTTCAATTCCAGGGACGAGTAAAGTATTATTTGGATTTTTGGAACTTGGAAAACTGAATAGTAACAAAACGAAGTCCGGGATTATCGCTGGTTTTAAACTAGAATAGCCTCCCCCCTCCCCCTCCAACGTTGTACTCATCACATAACTACCTCTGCTTACCCTTCCGAAGAACTATAGATCAGTGTCATGTTATCAACACCAAGCATGCTCGATGACCGATATAAAAATCTTGACGTGAGAATCGCTATCGCTATCGCAAACTTCATGGCCACACATTAAAAACCATTTCTGTTTTTGCTCTCCTAATATACTGTGAACCTCCCTGTCGGGTTCGAATCCAGATTGACGTAAAAAGGTTCTGAAAAATATTTTTCCGACATTTGACCTCTTTTTCAGGTTTCATAAATTTACTAACTCGAGTCGATGCGTGTGCAGATTACACTGAAAAGGTTTTAATTTTACTATCGGGTTGCGAAGTATAATAAGGTTTTTCAAATTTAATAATATACTAGGGGGAAGAACTTCCCGTATACGAAACAAATATAGCTTATAGCACTCAGGAAAATTGTAGCTATATATCGAAAGTATTTGGGAAATCCGACCAGCAGTTCCAATGATTACCCCCGACATGCAAAGTTACAGTTTTGACGAATACAACTTTTAAAGTCAAACATTAACACCATCCTTATAAAATAGTTATTTTTTTTTGTACAAGCCGTTTTTCGATTTTCGTAACACTTTCTGCCTCGTACAGGAAGACTTTGCAATTATCTTTTGCCGGTGTTTCCGAACCGATATGACCTTCAAGCCTTCAAGAAAGGAGCGAAATCTATACTTAGAAAAAATCTGTAGAGAGGTCAATTCTGTACATTAAATATATTTTCAAAATAACTACCAGGGGGTGACAAGTAAACGACACTGATGCCAAAAATGCAATCAGTAAAATATTGTTTGTCTGTCTGTATGTTCCTTATAGAAACAAAAACTACTCGACGGATTTTACCAAAACTTGGTACAATTTTATTATTCTTTGTACTCCTGGGTACGATATAGGATACTTTTGATCACGCTACTAATAATCAGCAGCAGAGCAGTGATTGGAAATGTTGGGAAAACGGGAGAAGTTACTCCCTTCTTTAAGTTCCCGTCGCGTGTGTAGCTTTAATGGTTAAAGTTACATAGAAATTATGTATGACCGAAATATTCTTCATAAAATTATCTAAAAAATTTTTTTTACAGTATATGTCTATCTCTTATGGTTAACTCACAATACCACGTGTAACTCCTGATAGCTTAGCAGTTTGGATAATAAGCCATAGCGCCGTTGCACATGAACACTGAATCATGCTATATGGATTACTTTTGTGTAAGGGTTGCCGCGCTCGACGCGATGCGGTTTTGAAAATATAATAAAACATAGGTTTTATGAAATATTTGTAATACTTACCTATAAGCTAGTCCTTCTTAACAAGCCGGCAACGCGCCTTTGACTCCTCTAGTATTGCAGGTGTCCATGAGATTATCCATGAATTTTTATTTCTTTAAAACAAAAGTTGTCTTGTAGACGAAGGCTAACGTCTCTGTCTAAACTATTTCACCGATTAAAAAAACATAATTAAAATAAGTTTTTATTAAAAAACTTTTGTAGCTAGGTAGGTACCTAATGTACGTAATAAGTGAAAATTTCTCTTTAGAAATTCAAATTAAATTAAATTTTCAGTTAGTTTTTGGCTTAGAACCAAGTCAAAGTTAAATTTAGCAGTAATTGGTTGTTCGTTTTGTTTTAGAACTTGAAGAGACGGGACTGTGTAGTCAACTGTTTTATGTGATAGGACGGCAGACGAGCAGACGTATTACATACCTGATGGTAAGCAATCAGCGCCGCCCATGGACATCTACAACGGTGAAGGAATTACGAGAGTATTACTGACTGTTTCGGGATAAGCGTTATGGACATTAACCTGTGGTATGTCGGAGCGCGGATCCACGCGAGAAACAATGTGTTTTCTATTATTTGTCATATACCGGTATATCATATACTAGCCATTGTAGCGCGGTTTCATCCGCTGCTCGGCTCCATTTAATCGTAACGTGATTTTTATAGCCTATACCACTTAGGAACATTGTAGCTATCTATCAGTGAAAGAATTTTCGAAATCCAACCAGCGGTTTCAAAGATACCCTCTACATTCAAACTTACAAACATACAAACACAAACTTACAAATTTTAACTCTTTATAATATTAGTATAGATAGATAAGAGGATAAGGGATTACTGTTCTTTCACGCTGATTTTCTGTGAGGCAGTGCTATCATTCAGGTCGAACCAACAACGAAAACTGAACAATATTAAAAACAAATTACTTTTTTTTTTAGAAAATTGTTTTCGTCATTTCTTTTTTTTTTATTTAATATATGTTCGTTGTATGGTATTCTCTTTGTAACTTAATTTCTCTTTTATTCTGCTCAACTTACTACGGCCCATGCAAGCGATTATGCAAATTAGTCGTACTGCATTTTATCACCGAAGATACAATTTGGCGTGCACCCAAAAACGATTTAATACAGCGTAGTACAAATTATTATTTTCAGTTGAATTGAAACTTAAAGATCTTGGAGATAAAGCACAAAGTTACTTGTGTGGATTTGCGGTAGAATTATATTTTAATGTCTTCCTGTGTTTTCGTTGTAGTTAGGTAGTAAATGTTAATAAATTTCTTAGTGTTTTTGCATTTAAGTTCGTTTACATTATGATCATTTCTAGTTAAAAGTTCAAAGATTTCAAGTCACCGATACAATGAAATTATTTCTATTTCCTCAGTCAATGTGCTAAGTTTATATTTTCAGTGTAGTTTTCGACTTTTTTATGATAAGGTGGCAAACGACCACATTACCTGATGTTAGTAATCAGCGCCGCCTACTACCTAAGGAGTTACGAGTGCATTGCTAACCTTTTGGGGATTAGGGTTTTTGGGATTTAGAGTTTGGAAAAGTATTAGAGGAGGGGAAGGATTAGGCCACCACGAAGCTCATTCACATGGCGATACATAACGCTGTCGTTTTTCACGCTGGTTTTTTGTGAAACCATCATCCTGTGCGACGTTAACCCTAGACCTCGACCGAGACGTTTACACTGCGGGTAAAAACATGCCTCAACAATGGTCGATGTTTTAAATGTATATTTGTTAACATTAGAATTTTACTTAGTGCGTTTACAAATATACAAATCACAAACACATCACATCCAAATTGAAAAGAATTATTTGATTTCGACTTTGTAATCTTATTTCTTTTTTGTTTGTAATAGGTTGGCAAACCCGCAGACGGATTACCAGATGGTAAGCAATCAGCGCCGCCCATGGATACCGGCAACAACAGCGGACCAACAACAGCCATTTGGGGATTAGGAAGGATTGCGCCTCCGGTAACCTGACTCACATGGCGAAACACAACGCTGTGGCTATTTTACTCCGGTTTTCTGTTCGACCGTGATATCACATCGGTCGAGCCGACCCATTCGTGCCGAAACATGGCTCTGGCACACTTTAATCTTAATTTTTCATCTCTTGCAGGTCACAATGAAGACCCGTACAGTGGTATTGGTGATAATCCTAGGGTGTGGAGCGGCGGCCATCTTGTTCGCTGTCGCAGCCTACCTGTACATACGGAGGAGGAGGAAAAAGAGAGAGGATGAGGAGGACGGCACTAGCTGTGCCATCAGGTAAGACCTTTTTATTTATTTACTAGTTACTCTCGCGCCGTTTCAGCCCCTGATCGGCTTCATTTGATCGTAGCGTGATGTTTTTATAGCCTATAGCACTCAGGAATATTGTAGCTATGTATCAGTTAGAGAATTTTGGCAATCCGACCAGCGGTTCCAAAGATTACCCCCTACAAACAAACTTACAAATTTCTTTATAATATTAGCATAGATATTGTACTCTCCAATTCATGAATCCTCCAATCAACAAATCTATACTAATTAAGTATTATAAAGAGGTAATGTTTTTAGTTTATATGTAGGGGGTAATCTTTAGAACCGCTGGACGGATTTTCGAAGATCTTTCACTGATAGCTTTAAGATTCCTGAGTGCTAAATTTTACTTGATTTGCATATTTTAGCCGTAAATCGAAAAAAACTGCTGCTGTTTTTAAAATTCCTAGATACGTTACTTTGATAGGCGTGCGAAGCCGCGAACAGAAGCTAGTGGTTAATAACCGAAGTGCCGTCAGTACTTTTGATCATTCGGGTGTCCAAGGTCGGCGCTGATTGCTTAACACCAGGTAATCCGTCAGTTTATTTTCCGCTCTATCATACGACAAAAGAAAATTTAATCACACTGAAGCTACTTTAGATATTTGTTACAAATTAAGTGAATCGACCGATATTCTTACTTACTTCGATGTCACATCACGAGTCCGTAAACCATCCAGAGTCCCTCTAAGAAACAACAAGCGTTTTACAAAGATCATGTTTATTGGGTAACCAGCCAAGAATGGACAAATTTGTTTCCATTATCGCATAGCATATTATTTGAAATGGTGTTGCGAACTATCAAATTCTAGCTGCCAAGAGTTAGCGACTGCCAAACTATGAGTTAGCTACTGATCGTTAACTACCATCAATTGTAGCACTTACTACTGCCAGGGGCTACCGCCACAGTTTTTTATTATGCCATAAGTCAGGAAACAAACAAGCGGATTACCTGATGGTAAGCAATCAGCGCCTATAGACAATCCCGAATGTAGGTCATAAGGGATTTAAGGATAGGGGATTTGAGGGTTGACAATGGGGAGGTGGAGGATTTGGCTGATTTTTATTTTGACGTTTCAAAACTAACTAGTTAGTTTAACTTAAACATTTCCAACTTAACCATAAACAGCAACCATAAACTTAACCATAAATAGAGAAATGATTTTGACACCCTTTTAATAGGTAAAAACTGGGTCCCATAAACATTTAATAACTTTAAGTATGGCGGTAAGACATTGCACCACACCATCAGCCTATAACTACCCACTGCTGAGCAAAGGCCGTTTCTCACACGAAGAAGGTTTGAGCATTAACCACTACCTACGCTTGCTCAAAGCGCATTGGTGATTTCAAACATATAATTAGAAATTATAAGTCCAGGTATACTTTTGATGTTTTCCTTCAGCGTATGTCAGTGGCGTCCAAATATTCATAGAAACTACATATAACTCGGAAAAAGTCACATTGATACTTGCCAGGTTTCAAACCTCCCGGCAACCACGTCATTACAGACATGTCGTAAAATTTGTAAGTTTGTATGTAGGGGGTAATCCTTGGAACCGCTCGCATTGGTCGTATTTCCAAAATTCTTATACTAATTTATAGCTACTTCTCGAGTGCTATAGGCTACGAAACTTCACGCTACGATCTGTAGGAGCTGAGCAGCGAGTGTAACCGCCGAAAGTAGCTTATTTTTATGATAACAATATATTAAGTTTAAAACTCTTTTACACACTATTACATCAGAAAATAACTTCCGATGGTAAAATCTAAAAATATTTTCTAAAAATATAGTTGATATATTTTATAAGCTTCATATCTCTAACAGCGTTTTCCAAAATGGCTGCCAGCCAGAACACATATTTCATTTCCACGTAAAGACAAATCCAAATTTGTAAAACTTATTTGACCAATTTTCAACCTTATACCTTAACTATAATGTTGAAATTCTATTGATTTTTTTGACATTATTGGGTATTTTGATCTGCTGCTTGTAATATGCCTTATCTTTTAGGTTTTTGAGCTTGTAAAGAGTTTTAAAATCTGATATTTTATGTGTAACTAACCGTTGCCAGCAGCTACGCCCCCGCGGATATATATTTTAATTTTTTTCAAGATTTTTTTAAATCTACTCTACGTACAAACTTTCTCTGGACTTCCACTAATAATTCAAGACCAAAATTATCCAAATCGGTAAAGGCATTGTTGAGTTAAAACATTACAACGAAAAGTGGCATTGATTTTTATATAACACTAGCTGTCCCAGCAAACTTCGTCCCGCCTCGAATATAACTGTTTTTTTTTTATTTAGTCATATTCTCTGACCTTTTAAACCCTCCCTGTATATTCAGCAACATTTCAAGACCACAACAAGCCATGTCGGTTCATCCTTTCTCGAGTTTTAGCGACATCAACGAACAGCAATTCATTTTTATATTCAAGATTGATAAGCTGTTACACAATTTCCGAACCACCAATCTACCAGCAACTAACTGACTCCTCTGGTGTCTACGGGCGTAGCAGTTTTGCTTACCATCAGGCGTTTCATCTATTTGTTTGGTGCCCTATAAAAGGTGGTGTCTTCTGCGACAAAACTAGATGTCGTCAACCGCTTCGCTTGTACTAGCGCGTCGCAGGGATTAAAGCTATCTCTGTTCAAACTCAAATTTCATTTAAGTTTTAAGGTTTGAGTATGGGGTAGAAGGACGGCATTTTCTGTAACCTCGCTCAAATGGCCAAACACAATGCCAGGCTTGATTCACATAGTACGTATTTTTTGATTCCGTGGTACGACTCCGATCCGGCGATTTTTCTGCCGAACCCTCCCACACTTATCTAATACCATAGTAGCTAAAAAACTATCATCATCATCATCATCCTGCCATATTTTACAGAAATAAATACACTCCTGCTTACACCATTTGCAGGACGGCGACGCTAACATGAAAATTACCTGTAAAATCCCAACTGTAACTAGTCTCTATTGATTTTACAACTTAGTGCTAACTTAGAGGAGTTATGTGCTTCCTGATATTGTTAAGTTTACTTGTGTCAGTAAGTAGTTAAGTAGCTTAAAAGCGATCACACCACTCTTATTTCCATCCAGGATTATGATTTTTTTTTTTGTGAGGAGAAAATAATCAAATGACTTCTCCCGCCCAGGGCCGGGCGGGAGGGAGTGTCAGACTCTTGCTGACTAAAAACACCATATTCTTTCGCCTGCTCTGGGCCAAAACCGCGGTTCATTGAGTTTAACCCGCAACCCCGGCTGAACATCAGCCCTATAGGGCCCCATCTGTGGTGGCCTATTGGCTCTTCGAGGCGCGCGCGGAACGCTACGCGCCGTACGCTCGAGTCTGGTTGTGGTCGGGCGGTGAACTACCCTTACTCGCCGTAGACCCGCGCTTACGGTGGCCTGAGATCATCTCTCGACGGCTTAGGTTATCATTATTATCATCAACTGCTTAACAACTGACTGCAGTTGAGTTTTTTATGATACATGTCGGTAAACGAGCAGACGGATTACCTAATGGTCAGCAATCAGCGCCGCCCATAGACCCAGAGGAGTTACAAATGCGTTGATAGCCTTTTGGAGATTGGGGTTTCAGAGATTTAGAAATTGAGGTAGGGAAAGAAAGATTGGCAATTTTCTGTGGTTGTGGAATTACTCCGGTTGAGCCGAACCAATAAATCATAATAACTATACTTAATATAAATAAACTCTCTCAGATTGGCTGATTATAGTGTACATAATTTATTTTATGGGTAATTTAACTAATAACCGAAACCAACAATAATAAAACAAAATACCAAATTCTTATCGCGATTGTTACCGATAATGTATACAGGATGTCAACATAATTGACAACTTCCGATACAGGGTGTTGGAAATTAGCACGCTCCTAAAATGTTGCCAGCCTAATATTTAGTTTTATGAATACCTTCACAATAAAATTGTTATTTTTGTTAACTACTTTATGATTTATACGCATGAAACCGTGTTAATATAGTTAATTTTATTTTATAAGTCACGCTAAGTTGGAGTTCTTAAAGAAACGTTTATATTAATATTATAAAGAGGTAAAATTTGTAAGTTTGTAAGTTTGTTTGTAGGGGGTAATCTTAGGAACCGCTGGTCGGATTGTCGAAATTCTTTCACTGATAGATAGCTACAATGTTCCTGAGTGCTATAGGCTACAAAACATCACGCTACGATAAAATTAAGACGAACAGCGGGTGAAACCGCGTGAGAGTAGTTAGTGCTTAATAATATACGATCCCAGCCCGGAGCAGGAGAAGGAATGGTCAAGCTTTTACTGCGTAAAAGTCTGACACTTTCAGCTCACCCATGACGAGAGAAGTCATTAGATAGTTTTTACATCTTGAAAATAAAGCCTGCTTGGTATAGACAGAACGGAGTGGTTTTTAGTCAGTAGAAACTTAAGACTCCCTTTTGCTTCACCTAGAGCGTGAAAAGGCAGGTGATGATATTACCCCAAAAAACAAATAATCATAAAATATATCGGAACCCCAGATCAATGCAGGGGTTGGAACGGGATGGTTTTCAGGCCAGTAAGAGTCTGACACTCTAGCCCCACCCAGGATGGAAAAAGTTATTTGATAATTTCCTCCCTCATAATTATACTGCTGTCTACCCATATAGAAATAATCAGTCGTGATGTCATATTTATAACATCTATATATCTATCATCAGCCTGGTGTCGTCTTCTGCTGGACATAGGCCTCACCAATTGCATGCCACTGAGCTCGATGTTCAGCTCTTCTCATCCAACCACTGCCAGCCACCCTGCGGATGTCGTCACTCCATCTAGCTGGAGAGCGCCCTACACTACGTTTGTCCAGACGTATTTATAACATGTTTATGACAAATTGACCTGAACCTGTATACATCTTGAGTTTCTAACTTACTAGAAATATAATTATGTAAATGGCTACAAGTATTCTAC